AATTCTGAATTATAAAATAATAATTAATATATTGTGAATTAATTAAAAATAATGCTAATTTATTAAATAATACCTTGCATATCAGCATTAAATTCTAAATTTTCAATAATAAGATTAAATATATAAGTTTTAGATCAGAACTATAACAGTAGTCATATAAAAATTAGCAAATACATTACCTGATTCGTAATTATCTCTACTAACAGATTTATCTTTGTCCCTTGTCCTAATAACATTATTATTATTATTATCATTATTAATAACTGTTGTATTACCTTCAGTAATTAAATGAATGAAACATTACAAAAATATTAATAAAAAGTCATGAATAACACGTTAGAAATATTAGAAATTTTACCGGTAATGATATTGAGAGCATCACTAGATTCTTCAGTGGGAACATTACCGGTAAGGATTCTACCGAGATGTATATTAGCAGCACTTTTATTATAACAGGTATCAGAGTATGACCAGTATTTGTAGCAGTAACACGACTAGTACTTGTGGTGTGGGCACAACCAGTACTTGTAGCGAGGGCACAACCAGTACTTGTGGCAGAGGCACAACTAGGACTTGTGGTGAGGACACAACCAGGACTTGTAGCAGGGGCACAAGCAAGACTTGTAGCAGGGTACGACCAGAACTTGTAGCAGGAGCACGACCAGAACTTGTAGCAAGGGTACGATCAGAACTTGTAGCAGGGAAACCACATAGACTTGCATCAGGGGGACCAGCAGTATTAGCACCACCAGTATCAGTAGAGCTACCAGGAGAACTACAAGACATGATGAGGGAGATTGTACTAGAGATCAAAGATGAAATACACCAACTAGGAGCTCTAGCCGGTGGTGTGAAATTATTTGCGACTTTATCACTTTTCTACCAATTCCTTTTCAACTTATTTTGATTTTGTTCTATGGCAGTTTTTTCGCACAGCAACAAAATCTGTTTCAACTAAAAGTATATTAAAATATATTAGTACTGATATCTATATTTATATGATTATCTATTGTAATAATTACAGTTTCT